AACGAGGATGACTACTCCAAAAACATACGGTGAGTTCCAGCTATAAGTTTTCTGCAATCATAAGTTCATTTTAGATGGCACACACAATTATCTGGATTCATTCAGTTGTTCTGATCAGAGCGAGTCCCAAAGACCTCAACAGCATCAAGCACCCTGGAAGTGATTGCCATACTGTATGTTTTATTCTGGATGCTTTTGGATCATTACTACTCCTCACGAATGGCGTTATATATGTCGTCCACTGAATAATCTAATTTTCAAAAATAATCCAGGCGAGTTCAACTATTTTACTGGATGATTTTTTTTACTTAACATGTATATGTTTTCCGGTTCCTTTTGCCATATATTTGTAAGTGTCCCTAGGCTAAATGCAGTAACTTCTTATGGAATGTTTATAACGCATCATATTCCTGCCTGAAGTTTCACAAGCAGTCTAAACTTTAAAACTATTTTCTGGTCATGTTCATTATTTTTAAATCGTCATATACGTCAACAACCTGCATATTAACCTGGCCCATACATACGTTACACTATATCTCCATGTCTTCTAAATTTAGAAATCATCTGAATCGCCTTTAACATTTATCAATAAACTCATCATAGTCGTTGTTGCTAATCGTATTTGGGTTTATGGATTAGTTTATCATATTAGCAGCCTAAAATGCGAACATAGTTTAGATAATAAGATTAAAAATTTAGGTACTATCAACTGCACTAGTGAAATAACTAAATCCCCAAGTAGCTGTTGGCTAAACAAACGTTTAAAATCAAAACTCAGTAGCCTACTAGAATGAACACTAAACGAATATTTCTGAATTGAAATTTATAATTAAATTAGGCGTCTCGGATTCTTTAACGTTATAAATTTCTGATGATTTTGAATCACCTAAAGCAACAATACCTATTTTTCCACTGACTAATCCTTAATCAACACTATAAGTAGTTAAACATAATAGTTTCAGGATATCGTCATAAAGCATTGTCATAACTTGACAATCACGTAATATGACTGATAAAATTAATGAGACTATTAACAAAATCGGTCAGCAAATTGACTTATAATTATCACTAGTGTTTTTTTTCTTTTATCTTCATTCACTACGGATGATTACAGTATGTTTCTCTATCAGTTGCTCATTCAGTAAATATCTCAAAACCTTGTCAGTCTAATTGGAGGTTTAGCGACACAATAATGCATGCAAATAATCAGTATAAGCAGTCGAGCAAATCTCCTGCAAACTGAAAACATCAATGTCGAATTTACCCCAACACTGACTAAGGTTCAAGCCATTATCATAGACGTGAGTTGGGAGTGTACTCCCCTTGGTTACAACTTGTGTTCTTCCTGATAATCACATGAGCATCACTCACTGTTAATCATATTGTAAAAGCTTATTTAGCCGAATACATCCTGCGGCACCACATCACTTCGTAATATGACACAGGCCTAACTGATTTTAATAACCTATAACCACTATATCTCAATTTAATCTTATTCCGCCTTATGATAAACTACATACTTGCAACTAACTTGTATGCCCAATCAGCCAGCAAGTATAAATATAAATAAATAGTCTATTGCAGATCAGAACATTGAGTCCAGAGCATGTCTCTTACGAACACACTCATGTTTAGCGATTTGTTCCTAGCTATCTGTCCAAAATTCATATAATTATCACTCACGTATTTAAATTTTATTTTGATAACCATTCATGTGTATTGGTAGTATTACTAAATTCTATCACGGTCAAGTAAAAATGAAGTTGAGAAAATCTCCCCGTAACTAAATAAACCTTATCAAACTAACTGGAACACTAGTTGGAATTATTTTCCATGGTAATACTTTTGTTCTCCCAGTTAGCCTACTAATACAGATGCAATTGGAAATCACATATGGACGGGTTACCGGCATAATTGTTAATTGGTTTCATAATTTAAACCAAAACTAATACCAATATTAACATTTCTACAATATTCATTACTTTAATATTCCTAAACACAAAATACTTACTACCTATACGTCAAGTTATTAACCAACGGCTATTAACACGCATTGTTTTATTATTATTACTGTAATCCCATTTTTTTTATAGCTCAAATAATCTTCACCCAAATTGTCATTTTAAGTGTGTTAAGCATGAAGGCAGATTTTTTTAAAAAAAAATTATTACATGTATTTCCCGACCAGATGCTGCCGCCTTCTTTTTGATTTATCTTTCAGCTTATCATTACCCGGGGGATTCTTCCTAGTCTTGGTAACCTTCGGCGCACGACGATCCCATCCAATTTGGTATCGAACCAACATCACGTTGATTCTGGTGGGAGAGTAGTGTAGTGGCATTGGACAATAGCCACACAATCCACAAAGCTGTGAACACGAGACTACTCAGAAAATAGATATTCAATATTTAACGCGGAGAAATACCTAACAATGGAGAAGGCGCGAACAATGAATTGAATGGACTGGAGTAGGATCGAGTGGCATGGCTCGGCCATGCAGGCGTGGTCTCTACTCATATTAAATATATTGTTCCTTCTCTAACCTAACCTTGTTCTTCATCATGTATTGGTAATTGATACGATACAGTGAGTTGGCGTAGTCGATGGTGTGACTTCCACGTAAGATCTTATAGATTAGGCAGTTATATCATGACGAATCTACAAATTTAGGATTAGGTCTATTATTAGAGCAGTACTAATATCATAGTAGACCATAGTTCTACAGTTGCATGTTGTAAGATTAAATCTAGAAATGGGTTAGTGACTATAGGGGGAATATACCATAGTCCGTCTTGTCTTGCTGACGACTTTATCCTAAGACACATCTGTTCTTGGAGTATGGCAGAATGTTATCTCATCATCGGGGACTTCAACGCACCGCATATCAACTGGATAGAGCTTACAGCTCCAGGTAGTGGTTTCGATAGCGACCTTTTATCTACCGTTATTCAGTGTGCACTTGTACAATGTATCACAAAACCGACACATATTGATTTGCAACATGTTCCGTCACTGCTGGACCTCGCCCTCACCCACCAATATGAGGATGTCTTTGATATCCAGCACCTTCCCCCACTAGTGAACAGTGATCACGTAATTCACTTTAAGTTTAGGACACATGGTATACAATTCGTATCTGCTTCATCCCGTCCCAATATCTGGCGAGCCAATATTCCGGCAATCAGAAGCTGTGCTATCTCGACTGATTGGTCGGTCGACGCGGATGGGTTGATCGAAGATGAATGGAATAAGTTTAAAGCTATATTCAAGTCCGTAACGTCACCGTTTATCCCATGGTCAGCACGTAAGCTATCACATTGCCCTCCATGGATTAATAAGGAAACCCGTAAGCTGTTAAAGCGTAGGAAACATTTCTGGGACTTATTCTTGTTGACAGGTCATGCACCATTTAAGCGTGAGTACCAAAAATTCCGTAATATCTGCGAGAAAACCATAGCCAAATCCCATACCACTTACGAACGACAGTTATTATATGTTAACCGTACATGTCCGAAACGATTGTTTTCGTATGTTAAATGGCGAATGAAACGTAGTGATGGTATTCCCCCGTTACTGTTACACGAAAATTCAGATTTACTAGCTGAATCAGATCGAGCAAAAGCTGAGACTTTTTCAGACTATTTTGGCAAAGTCTACTCGACGTTTATTGTAACAAATACTTGTCCCACTCACACCGAGATACCAACCATTGAATCTGTACAGGTGACTGAGGAAACTGTCCTTCCGTTGATAACTAACCTCAAACCTGGTAAGATACCGGGCCCTGACGGGTTACATCCACGGTTGCTGTCACCTCTTGCGGACATTATTTCAAGACCGCTCGCGACACTCTTCAACATGTCCCCTTCACTCGCTCAACTCCCTGGAGGTTGGAAGGACGCTATAGTCAGTCCTATATTTAAGGACGGTCAGATACAGATAGTATCTAACTACCGGCCTGTCAGTCTACCTGGTATAGTCGTTAATTTACTTGAAAAGATAATTCGGGTTAGGTTGCTAAGCCACATAGATTCACACAATTTGTTAGCTCCTGAGCAACACGGATTTCGTAACAAGACCACATCTAGAGTACTGTATCCAAGCAGCTAGCCCGTGTCTGGTAAAGGATACTAACTCCCTTGAGCGTGTCCAGCGTGTGGGAACGAAATTAGTGAAGGGTCTTTCCAGACTCCCTTACGATGAGCGTTTAAAACGCCTAAATCTTTTCCCCTTGTCGTATCGTAGGACACGAGGTGACCTTATACTGGCATTCCGTATCTTTTATTATGATTTGGGTCTTAATATGTCTTATCTTTTTGCTCCCTCCAGCACTAATAATCTCCGAGGTTATAGCACGAAGGTTCATAAACCGCGATCTAATAAACTTAAAATGGGGTCCCGTTTTTCTCATCGAGTAGTCAATGATTGGAACGCCTTACTCGAACAAGTGGTATCAGGCCCATCAGTGACTATTTTCAAGGAAAAGCTGGACCTTCACTGTAAAGCAATTTGTCAGGATTAACACAGGTTCACCAACCTACTATGCTTATTACTGAAGACTGAAGACTGACTTACGGGTATAGTAGTCTGAGATTATTGCTTTTTTTAACGCCGTGGTTTGCACTAGTGCATGCCAAGATTTCAAAAATTAAAATAAAGTAGTGGTGTTGTAACTTCATATCGAAGACCCAAATGTATTGAGCAATGGAAAGTTCGCAATTCGTGAACTCATGCGTTACATTTGACTTTGTCTTTTAACCCTTTCCGTAATTGTGGTTTATGTGAAGATTAAGTGAACATGATATTTTAAAATCCTACGAAGCCCAACTATCACAAAACTTATCGTTTTTGACTTTGGTGACTTAATACGTAATATTCTCCTGAGATTCCTAACAATTTTCTTCATCCATCACAAAGCTATCCTTGCACATCTTATTGAGGTTGAGCCTCTCAAACATAACATGAAATCTGATTCTTAATGTCTGGTTGGTCAGTAAAAGATGCTACCTTATTTCGACTATCAATTTCGTGTTATCATAATTGGTGATAGTATGGTTGGGAAATCCTCCTTAATGAAAAGTTTCGTAGAAGGGAATTTCACTCCTGTTTCAGATCCCACTATTGGAGTTGATTTTTTCTCACGAACTGTTCGAATCCAAGAGGAGGTCTTCGTTAAGTTGCAATTATGGGATACTGCAGGTCAAGAAAAGTTTAGGTTTGTTGTTACAGTAATATCAATTTATACTTTCAGAACAATAACTTCGTCTTATTATCGCAATTGTGTTGGTGTTGTAGTTGTGTTCGATCTTACTGACAGAGAGACATTTGACCATGTTGCTGATTGGTATGAAGAAGCTCGTGGTTCAATTAAGTGCTCTGCTCCTGTGTTTATAATAGTTGGTCATAAAGCTGATCGTCGTGATGAAAGACAAGTAAGCTGATGTAGCAAATTTTATCTTCACATCAAACTCATTGGTGTCCTACTATGATCATTTTTGATATTGATGGTGTTTTAATTCTTAGAATATGATATTAATCCATTAAAAAAATATGGTAACGTAAAAAACACCTAATCTCCAAATATCTTATTTTGCAAACTATAAGTTTTACCATTTTGTGATGCTATTAAAGGCGTCTGGTGGCATTATGGTAAATCGTCCTTATTGTCTTTTGATAACACCGTTTTAGAACCCAAAAATGAAATCCCATATAAGTCGTCTGCCCTTTTTACCACCCGTTGAATAAATTAATTCCATCACATAATACCCTGGAACCTAATTACAGCGAAGCTAGTTTAGTATGAGTATATTAATATCAGCAGACACTTTTCAGAGACAATAGTAGTTGTTTTTCCGACCGTTGTTGCTACCTTGACGTGGTGGTCGGGCTTGCCTATCGTGATAAAGCAACCGAGCTATACTGGCTGGAACAACCGTTCCTCAAGGTCCTACCATGTCAGACAGGTCGGTTGAAGAGCGGTAAGACTAAAAACAACAAACCCAAGGTCCAAAGGCGAAGTCGTACTGCTGACTGTACAGAGGTGTGACAGCAGTAAGGTGTTTCCTTCAGACAACCAGCATGACAGCGATGCCGCCTTCCCACAAAGAGGGATAGAGTTAGAAAAGACCGACCCTAAAAATCCACACCTCGCCTTATCCCACGGATATCCGTCTCCGGCGGTAAGGTCTCAACAAGTACGGAGCTAACACAAAAATTACTCATAAAAAGGTCGTGTGTAACGGACCTCAAGCAGTTGTCCCTTGGGCACTGCGGTCACGCTCTCAGGTCACTGAGATCGCCTCTAATCCAATTTCCTTTTCAGGTACCTCCAGAAGAACCCTTCCTCGGTGTGGGCAACCGGGAAGTGATAACCGCCCTCATACCTCTAACAGCACTCAAGACCACTGTATTCATAACCAACCTCCCTCTTTAATTCCTATTATTCCTCCTCCATCGACTTCAAACTCTAGACTTGTTTTTTCGGCTTCCCCCTCAAGTGTCACCATAGCCAACGATTCTAGTGCTCAAAACTCTGTCCCAGGTCTACTGAAACCTCGCTCCAAACTACACATTGGAGCATTCAACGTACGCACCCTATGTCAAATCGGTCAGCAGGCTTCCTTGGCTAAAACCCTAGAGTCTCTTTCCATTGATGTATGCTGTGTCTCCGAAACACGCATACAGGATTCCAGTGTGGTCATTCAATTGACCTCACCTCGGCAAAACGGAGAGCCAACGAGATACACCCTACGCGTACCTGGTGACCCGATAGCCAGTTCTCGTGGACTGGCAGGTGTAGGCATAGCACTAAGCATGAGGGCGGAACAAGCACTGCTAGAGTGGATCCCCGTCAACAGTCGTCTATGTGCTGTTCGGCTAAACGGCTCCGTAAGAACTCGGAAGGATTGGGACACACGTCGTCACCTTCTCGTCGTTTCTGCCTACGTGCCCACTGACTGCAGCCCGGATGAAGTGAAAGATGACTTTTACAGAAGGCTTTCTGAACTTCTTCAGAAAGCTAAACGCTCAGAAATAGTACTCGTAGGGGGTGACTTTAATGCTCAGATAGGTAGCTTAAACCAAACAGAAAGGCATTTAGGTGGATATTTTAGCATTCCGGCACAGCGAACAGATAATGGTGACCGTCTGCTGCAACTGTGCTCAGACAATCGCTTATTTTTAGCAAACACAAGCATAAGGAGAGACATCGTCTAACATGGCGACCACCTACACCAAACCAACGATGGACTCAAATAGACTATATTGCCATCAGTTATCGTTGGAAAGGGTTGGTAGAAGATTGTCGCTCATTCTGGAGTACCTGCTTAGACTCCGACCACGCCCTAATACGGGCACGCATCTGCTTGGGCCTCACTGGACGCAAAAAAGCCACATTAAAAAGACTCATTAGAACTGAGTTGAGTAACGAGAAAACCAGAAATAGGTTCCAAGAACAACTGAGGTCACACTTAGGTAGTTCTGAAGACGAGGCTGACCCAGATGTTGCTTGGAAAGACATACAAGCAGCTGTGGAAACAGCAGTGACATCTATTAGCGACTTAAACCAGAGAGTTACAAAGAACCAGTGGATTTCTTCAAGGTCTATCACACTGATGGATTCTTCCAAACTCGTCCCATCAGGTTCCGAACATGATGAAGAGCGACAACAAATCAGATCTAGGTTAAGAAAAAGTCTAAGAAACGACCGTGAGCAGTGGTGGGCAATGAAAGCAAAAGAGATGGAAAAGGCGGCGACTATAGGGAACACAAGACAGCTTTACAGACTTATAAAAGAAACTGGAATTAATAAGTCAAGTGTAAGTGAGATTATATCGGAAAAAGACGATACTCTCATCTGCTCCCAGTCCAGACGCTTAGAACGATGGGCGGAACATTTTAGGGAACAGTTCAGCTGGCCTTCAGCTACTCTACAACTACCCTCCATTCCCAGACAGTGGAACATTGAAGTAGGTCCTCCAAGTCTAGCAGAAGTTCAAAAGGCTATAGTTAATCTGAAACGAGGAAGGGCAGCTGGTCCAGATTGATTGGCTCCCGAAGTCTTTAAGGATGGTGGTTCAATTTTAGCGATTAGGTTGACTAATATTTTAGCTAAGATCTGGGAGTTAGACGTTATCCCATCTGACTGGTCACAATCACTTATCGTCCCAATATATAAGAAAGGGTCAAAATCGTCCTGTGACAACCACAGAGGGATTAGTTTAACTAATATAGTATCTAAAATACTAGCCTCGATAATTATCAGACGCCTAACTAAGACTCGTGAACTGCAAACACGAGAGAACCAAGCTGGCTTCAGACCTGGTCGTGGCTGCATCGACCACATATTCACCATTCGTCAGGTTCTAGAACACAGGCATACTTATCGGCGTCCGACAATGGTGGTCTTTCTTGACTTAAAAGCAGCATTTGACTCGGTAGACCGCGAGATTCTGTGGCAGTATCTGTCATTGAAAGGCGTACCCCAGAAGTACATAAACCGTGTAAAGGCTCTTTACTCGAACACTACTGGTCGAGTCAGAGCTTATGGCGAACTGTCATCTACTTTTGCAACCTCAAGTGGTGTCCGTCAAGGCTGTCCACTTTCCCCATTTTTGTTTAACTTCATCATATATCTACTGATGGAAATAACTTTCTCGTCGACTGAGTTCTCGGGTATTGATCTCCATCCAGGAGGTCCACTTATCGACTTAGAATACGCAGATGACATAGTCCTGTTTGGTGAAGACACTGACAAAATGCAGAGTCTTTTGGTAGCACTGAGCAACAATGCCAGAATGTTTGGAATGCGCTTCTCTCCCTCGAAATGCAAGTTGTTGCTTCAGGACTGGTCTGCGTTAACACCTGAACTAAGGATAGGGAGTGAAATAGTCGAGCGTGTTGACAACTTCACTTATCTTGGAAGTCTGATCAGCCCTAATGGGTTGGTGTCTGACGAAATCTCAGCACGGATTCGAAAAGCTCGTTTGGCTTTTGCCAACTTACGTCACCTGTGGCGAAGGCGAGATATCCGTCTATCAATTAAGGGACGAGTATATTGCACAGCAGTTCGTCCTGTTCTACTTTACGGCTGCGAAACGTGGCCATTAAGAGTAGAATATACTCGTAAGCTACTATTATTTAATCACAGATGTCTTAGAAATATTGCTCGCATCTGCTGGGATCACCGGGTAATAGTAATAGTGAGGTTAGACGCAAGGTATTAGGGAATGATAGTAAATCAGTTGATGAGGTTATGAATCTTCATCGACTAAAATGGTGGTTGGGTCACGTGTTACGTATGCCTGAATACCGATTACCACGACGTGCAATGCTATCCGGTATTGGAGATGGTTGGAAGAAAGTTAGGGGCGGTCAAACCGAGATTGGCATCAGTGCTTGAAGTCACTAACTTCTAGTCTGAGCCATGTTGGTAGATGCAGACTACTTGGTTGGGGTCCGCATGACTGTCGTAACCAATGGTTGGAGACTCTTGGTGACATGGCTCAGAATCGATCACAATGGCGTTGGTGTATACACTCCCTGTCTTCCCTTAAACTAAGAGATTAAAATCGCTTCATACCTTTCTTTCTACGAACCAATTTTTTCTTCTTGTACTATATCTCTATATGCAATCTTTCTCTTATATATTACCACCTTTGAGATAACCACTGCTATGAATCCGGTGTCCATCTTGTTGTGTTAATGAGGTATGGCAACTTGGACCGATGCATATATGTGCCTGGTCCTACGTTGTAGCTGACTGACTGACTTTGTAGGTGTTTTAAGTCTCATCTATACCACATTTGGGAAACTACGGTGATTGTGGTGAAGTCGGGAAACACGACTGTTGGGTTTAAATATTCATTTTATCAATTACTGAACAACTACTGCGCAAGTATTTAGTGTAAATCACAGAATTATATCGGATTTATTCCTTTTGCTTCAAAAATTCCTTGGCAGTTTCAAAATTCAAACGGTTTGCAAGTATAACTTGTGTAAGACATAAAAGTTCAGCCATTAAGATCATTTCGAAATTTTGTTCATGGTAGTAGAATATGCGACGGATGTTTTGTTCCTGACCAAATATCATTAAGTACATATAACACAAAGTATCATCGTACAAAGAGGAAAATTAAGCATAAACGCGACGTTAGATGATTTTGCTCGAAATCACTTGCAGTCAGGCAGATAGATTCGCTCCTTATCTTTACTTGGATCCAAAGTTTAAAAATCGTTCTATGCATTTTATTCTTCAGATTTATAACGCAAGTTATATCTAATATACCAGGTTCTCTATCTCTTGTGACGGACTGGCTAAGTAAACATGAGCGACAATCACAAATAACATCTATTTCGTTGATAGTAGTTTATAGTTACCTAAACGTCTTGTTCAATGACCACATGGCAACTTAAACCACTTGTGACAGTTATTGAGATTTCTATCAAAAATGGAGTACATTGCTCAGTGGTTCACTTTGATGTACCACAACTGTTTATCATGATGTTGATAGATCTGGTCTAGATATTTGTGAGGCATTTCTCTTTCCTACGTAATGGGCATTATGAAGGCCAGCTAATGGATCCTGGTCAATTAAGTAGTCTGATTACACTACATTGTTCTTCAGCCATTGAATGTTATTCTAAAGCGTGATTTGTAAGTTGCTCGGCTGAATTTTACAGGGTGCTAAACTAGGTCATTACAAATATTTTAAAATTTGTCATACCAAAGGCGATGCAATCGTTCTTCCAAATTCCAATCTTGATACCATCTTTCTGTTTGTTCCATGTCCGCTCATATCTTTTCTCTCAGTCAGTAGGATATTGTCGTATATTTATTTCTCCTTCCTACTTGGTAAAAATGTGTAAAATCTCAAAGTGACAGTTTTTTTTCACAGTTTTATTATTGCTTATTATTATACATAATTAGCATAATTATGCATAATTTCGATAGGTTACCAAAATTGAAGCAGAGTCTCTTGCACAGCGACTTGGTGATTATATCTACATTGAGACATCTTCACTTACTGGCCAAAATATTGAGAAAACTTTTGAACTACTAGCTGAAGGCATTTACTCCAATGTTATTAAAGGAAGTTACAATGAGGTTAGTATGTTTCCAATAAGTTTAAGATATTTTTCATTTGTTTGTTTTTGGCCCCTGAATGTTGATAAAAACTTTCTCATTCTGTTTTGTCTGATCTACCCGGAATATACAAATGCTAAAAAGAATCTCATGTCCCGAAGGAATTTCACTGGAAAAAGTTAATGTAGAAAAGTAGGTAATAAATACATTTATGTGATTAGCATCAAATTTGGGCATATAAACACATAAATCTAACAGGGAAACTTTTCACTTTCATGTCTTGTTATGAATACCCTATATATCTTGTAAGATACTATAGTGTGTTTCTGGGATTTCTATGCTTTAAGATATCTAAAATGGACTAACTCTATTTAACAAATGATAACAAGACCGCAGGGTCTGTATGTTCTCTGTAAAGAAAAGCTATCTATCTTTCAGTCGCAAGCATAAAGCGATATTATTAACAATGCTTTTTAAATCTGGCTTTTAGCTAATTGTACATGTCCTACTTCAAAACATTAAAAATGATTTTTTATTACTAATATCGTATTGGTAATTTAGGAATCAAAATTTTGATTGTCGTTGGTCAGTGTTCGTGATCTCTGTTCTTTAACTTAATTCCTTTAAGTCATTAAAAAAAGATCCCGTTGAAAATAGGATTTACTGTATCAATCACTCATAGACGGCTAGAACATGGGGAAAGTGAATATCACTCCACTTTCTCACACCTCATTGCAAAAAGATATCGATAGGTTGAATTACACAAAATGTGAATCAATATTAAATTTATTGACAAAATCTAGGTGTAAAAATAATTCAAAGTCACTCAGTCACATCGTAGAACCTGGTACGTATTTACATTCAAGTTGCCATATCTCATGTTATTTCTCTTATTACGACCCAGCTATTCTTACTGCTTAGTATTATTTATTATTATTTATTTGAACACATATATATTGGTACAGGAGTGCGCCAAATATATATGCGCCACACAAAACAATGAGAATTTAAGAGGAAAAAAAAGTGAGGAACGTAAAAAAAATAATAGAAAAAAAACAATAACGAAGAGATTGGTATAAGGTAGTGTAATAATAATAGTAATAGTAGGGGAACAGAAGGGTACAATCAGAAGAAATCTTTCAGTTAAGGAAGAAACATCCATCCAATTACTGTCAAACTATTCGTTCTAATCTTGACGAATATTCGTATAAAGTAAAAGAAGGTTACAGCAGGATCGCCACTGGCTTCTATTCTGAGCCATATCTGATAACGTTTCTAGCCACTGTGTAACACCATCTCTCGGTGGAATGGTAGCTAGCCTAGAGGCTAGCTCGGTTCGATGCTTACTTGCAACAGAAGTTGCAACCAGCTTGCTGACATCAGTCCGTTGATGGCGGTCACTTCGTTGTCCACTGAAAAGTAAGGTGAGATTGGCGCAGACCAAGGCATGGTCAGAGTCCAGATAAGTACTCCAAAAGGAGCGGCAGTCTTGTACACAACCACGCCAGCGGTAGCTGATCGCGATGTGTTCAATATGAGTCCAGGCTTGAGATGCAGAGGGAGGACGCCAGGTGGCACATCGGCGATGACTGTGCCGACAGTTAGTGCTAGCCAGAAACAGGTTGTGGTCTGTGCACAGTTGCAGTAGACGGTCCCCGTTATCTGTCCTGTGACCAACAAGTCCCCAGCGGCCACCTAAACGACTCTCTTCCGTGCCTAGACGCCCGACCTGAGCATTCAAGTCTCCGGCTAATACAATATCTGTCGAACGCACTTTCTGGAGAAGAACAGATAACTGGTGGCTAAACTCATCCTTGATTGCATCCGGGCTGCAATCTGTCGGGGCATAGGCGGAGATGACGAAAAGACATCGTTTCTCGTACCGATTTCTTCTCACTTTGATGGAACTTTCTAATCTAACAACACATAACCGACTGTTAATGGGGATCCAATCGTTTAGTGCTGCCTCAGCTCTAGCGCTTAGTGCGACACCAACATCAGAAAGACCAGACAAAGATGCCACAGGGTCCCCGGATAAAGGCACGTGAAACAAGCTTTTCGAAGTGACAGATGTAGAGCGAATTTGTAGTACCTCACTAGAGTCTTGAATACGGGTCTCGGATAGACAGCAGACATCGATATGAAGACTTTCCAAAGACATAGCCAGCTCTATCTGTTGTCCAACCTGCATAAGTGTGCGAACGTTGAAGGCTGACTGACTGACTGCTGATTGGATAAGAAGTAGCCAAAACGAAATACGGTTCCATGTGTAGGCAATTGGTAAGTGAAAACCCTCCTCATATATCTGACCACACCCGGGAAAGTGATCCAAAAGAGAAGTTTAAGGCCGAAAGATATTAGGTTACCATCATTTCAAAAAGGATTTATGCAAGCTTGGACTTTCAGAACTATCCTACGGCAAACAACTGTTTGTATTTTTATTCCATAATTATTAAGTACTTGGATTATTATATCTTTATATTCCTCGGTTTGTAAATTTCTGGCTAATGAGCAATCCGTTTCTGTATGCTTTACCTTGCCTAAGTTATTGTTATTTAATCATGGGCCTGTCATTCCATCTTTTTTCATCTGTAGCATAATCAGGCAAACATCGTAGTTTCCTGTTTATTATGCTGTATTGCTTACCTTACTTAGGTCTTTTACCCCTTTTGGAGAATATGCCGCCTAAATTTTGCTATGTAGTCAGATATTTAGTATATATTATCATATGATTTATAACTGAAGTGTCCAGTGGAAGTTTTATTTGCTTGCTGCGTCCGTATTCTGTTTGGTTATCGGTTGAAGCGATGAAGGCTGTACTCTAGAATAATAGGTGTTAGGTATTGGTCTTGGTCTGGAATTCAAAGTCATTCGGGAAATATGGGCAAGTGAGTCAGTAATCGGACAAGGTAATACAACTATATTGTCATAATAAACATCCTGATCATAGGGTACCCAATACATTTTAGGAATCTGTTGTCTTTGAAGATACATCAGATACTAAGCTTAAGATTTCTAAACTAAATAGAGCTACACCGCTGCCACTAATTTTAAGCCATTCCACCAAAGGCTTTTAACTACAAGTGTTATGATTCTCTTGAGGATCTTAATCATGAACTCTACATCTCCCTTATATGCCTCAGACCAATAGTTAATGACTTCATAGATTCAAGTTTTGCTCGTATGCAGTCTTAACAAACTAACGTGAGAATGTAAACGTACATGTACAATCCATAAACTCTATCTAATATCAAAAATATTCTGAAAGTAATTATTTTTAAGATTTTTTAGTATAAAGGAAAACATTATTCATCTAGCAAACTCTTTAATGGTACATGTATCTTGAAACCAATGGCATTTAGAGTAGAACATATCATTTGTTGTAAGTTTATCTATAACTTCAAAGAACTATGATCTCCTCTAAGCTGGGTAATTTTCTATTAACTAATTGTAACTCATTCATCATAAGTATTGTAAATATAGCAAATTATCTATCAATTAAGAGTAATTGACAATTGAATATGTTTCATTTACATATTTTTCTTGTTTATATTTACTCACTTTTTTAGTTATGCGCAGGTGGTGTTTGGGATGGTGTTAAACAAGGACATAATGCAGCATTGGCTGCCTCTTTAGCAAGTAGATCAATACAATTTGATAGAAATGAACCGAAACCTTATGGTGATTGTTGTTAAATTATTAAATAAATATCTATTTGCATTCTACACAGTTGACATATGCATTCGTTTCTTAAAATTTGTGAATAATCTCTTTTTGATTCTATAATTATTAAAGAAACTTGATCATTATATTCATTAATTATCCTATGCTTAATCAACTAATACATTAATTTGACTTAATTCTATCAAGAAAGTTAATATTCTTTATTTTTACTGTTTATTTTCTTTGGTAATTTTACATAATAATATGTATTATTGGTAATCATTATTCATTATTTTGCAGAAATATCTCCTATATTCCTCTTCGCTGTGTTTCTTTTTTCTTTCTTTCTTTCTTTCCTTCCTTCTTTCTTTCTTTCTTTCTTTCTTTCCTTCCTTCTTTCTTTCTTTCTTTCTTTCCTTCCTTCTTTCTTTCTTTCTTTCGATTTTAACAGAATCATGTATACTTTTTGATATTTTTCAGTTTTGTCTTTGTATGTTTTAACATATTGGTGCTTATTTTATTAATATTCCATTCAAACTCCCTATAGTAAGTGTGTGGGTTATGGTTGTGTTGAATATAGAGGATCTATTGAATGAATTGTGTTTTAGTATTGAATCACTCATCTAATGAATCCATCCATTTAATTTATATACTTATATAATTAATCTTTTATTTGTATGAATTTCATTTTTATCTGTCTTAAGGGTTATTTTTATGTTTCATTTTTTATTTTGTAAATTTTCTGATTTAATTAATTGAGATAAATTTGGTTAGTTTCATTATTTATGTTATTGTTTTTTTTACTTACTTTGTCAATATTTGTTGTTCAGTGCTTTTTATTTTTTTTCTAAAAGTAATTTAAGAAATCAAATGTACGTTTCTCGTAACTTCTAATCGAAGACATTTAAGTATACTATACTACGTATGCGATACATTATGGCTGAAGAATGCAGCATTTGTAGTGTAATTTCTTCGTGTCCCTGTTCCGGTATGGTGCGACAAGTAAGCAATGATGAGGTTGGAAGTAAGATACACTAGGTAAAAGTGGGAGATCAACTGATGCAGGTGAGGTGATTAAGATATATTACGTATCCAACCTACCAAACAGTGTCATGGCACCAGTCGATGAAATCAATAAATTATGGCCAGAACCGTGATCGTAGGTTTAAACTATGAAGTTCGCGTTCGCACGATAATCGTGATCATTGGTTGGATGTTTTAAGTTTCTAACTGGATATCTTACAAGAGGGCAATAGATAGGTATCCCATTGGTTAAGGCATTCGACTTTCAGACAAAAGTCACAGATCCGGACTCTTTTCCACCTACTTTGGCTTCGACAACTGAGTAGTATCAATAGCTCTTACACTCGGTGACTCGAAGCTAGGTACCCGAATCCGTGAGTTTAATAGGATTTTACAAGAAGGCGGTTTATCATTAACAAGAGTTCACTTTGAATTTATTCAGTTTGTAGTGGTATTTTAAGCCCACATAGCTTATTCTACCTTCCGGACAGGCCAGTCTATTCATTCTTGAGTCACGTTTTGACCTTGTTGATTATTCGCTTATCAACCTTGTTTGTCTTTATGTAAGCGTATGTGTGCACTTCTTGTCCTATTCATCACATGTTTGTTCGGCTATAAATATTGATTAACGCTTGATTAAATCGAGTTGGCTCACACGCCTTTTCCACTGCGCGTCATTTCGCTTCGTCCCTCTGTTTGTCCAAATCAATGAGTGTAGAAATTATATGTATTCAAAAATCATTCTCGTATTTGACTTATTTAATTCCTTTATTCACTAACGCGATTCAAGTCGATGATTATATACGAGGATTGGCGACATACATATTTCGACAGCAATCATTTCAATAACAATGATTTACACAAACAACCTGGAGTCAGATTAAGAGCCACTGAAAGTTTTATGAAGTTCGTGTAGTGATCATTCGTTATTTCGCATAACATATAATCATTGTCATTTTATGAAAAGAATTCGATTAGAAATTGATATGAATCGAAATCACTGTAATGATTTTCAGATACCTTTCGATACTAAAATAGCACAGCTCACTTACTTTTTAACTGTGGCTACTGTAAAAGACAATCTTGTACAGAAGATTTATTGATAAGGACCACAGAAGATTATTAACCTAGCAGTGGGGTTAGACGGCCTTGCCCAATCTCACCATTCCTCCTTAACTCAGCCATCGTCGGTGTCCTGTAAACAGCTCTGATGGATGTAGGTAATTTTCGGATCTGCTACCTGGTGAAATACTTTTCAACCCTGAGTATGGGGATGATATAAACTTTCGTTGCGATGATGCCTAAGCCATGCAACTCATACAGTCAGTTGGCAGTCAGTTTCCGTAGGTATGAGATGTGCCTTCCTCTTTTTAAGTGTAAAATACTTTTACAAGACTGGTAAGACTCTTTAGCTGCACTCACTCTTGGCAGTGAGTAGATAGAAGTGGTCAAGAAGTTCGTGTTTCTGGGTAGTTGTGAAAATGGTGACACGAATGACGAGATCAATTCACATAAAGTGAAACCCAGAGACGTTCATGCTAATCTGATCTATCTTTGATGACTTCATAATGTTAGTCGGGCTACAAAAGCTTGGATCTACGAACTTGGTTCAGAACAGCAACCAGTAATAGTTCTGTTGTAATGTTCTTTTCCTTTTTTTATCAATGAGGGGAACTTCTTTAACTGAAATAATCCTTTCTGATTGTATTTTTCTTAACGAAAATACTTCTTCCACTAATGTTAATTTTTTACTCGTATTGATTTATTTCTATCCATTTTTGTCCTATTTTATCATTGGTTATCTTCCACTCTTTAGCTCTTTGGAATTTCATTTTTATTGTATGAGCCATAGATATTTTAATGCCCCTTTAATAAATAAAAATAAACTAAATTATTTCATTCATATACATTGATTATTAGTGAAAAAAGATTGTCACAATGAACACAAAGTACCCTGGATTAATAAAATAATCAAACGGATGAAAAATCATACTGAATTAATCTATACAAATGAATATTATATGATCAATCGTATTTGCACTAAAAAGTACTGTTGAAGGATAAGTAATGCTCTTAACAGAAACATTAATAAAGAATGATTCTTCATTTAAGTTCATCAGCCCCTTGTCGTATCGTAGGACGCTAGGTGACCTTATACTGGCATTTCTTATCTTTAATTATAATTTGGGTCTTAATATGTCTTGTTTATTGTAACAAATACTTGTCCCGCTCACACCGAGATACCAACCATAGAATCTGTACAGGTGACTGAGGAAACTGTCCTTTCATTGATAACTAACCTCAAACCTGGTAAGATACCGGGTTGCTGTCACCTCTTGCGGACATTATTTCAAGACCGCTCGCGACACTCTTCAACATGTCCCCTTCACTCGCTCAACTCCCTGGAGGTTGGAAGGACGCTATAGTCAGTCCTATATTTAAGGACGGTCAGAGACAGATAGTATCTAACTACCGGCCTGTCAGTCTACCTAGTATAGTCGTTAAGTTACTTGAAAAGATCATTCGGGTTAGGTTGCTAAGTCACATAGATTCACACAATCTGTTAGCTCCTGAGCAACACGGATTTCGTAACAAGACCACATTTAGAGTACTGTATCCAAGCAGCTAGCCCGTGTCTGGTAAAGGATACTAACTCCCTTGAGCGTGTCCAGAGTGTGGGAACGAAATTAGTGAAGGGTCTTTCTAGACTCCCTTACGATGAGGGTTTAAAACGCCTAAATCTTTTCCCCTTGTCGTATCGTAAGACACGAGGTGACCTTATACTGGCATTTCGTATCTTTAATTATGATCTGGGTCTTAATATGTCTTATCTTTTTGCTCCCTCTAGCACTAATAATCTCCGAGGTCATAGGACGAAGGTTCATAAACCACGATCTAATAAACTTAAAGTGGGGTCCCGTTTTTCTCATCGAGTAGTCAATGATTGGAACGCCTTACTCGAACAAGTGGTATCAGGCCCATCAGTGACTATTTTCAAGGAAAAGCTGGACCTTCACTGTAAAGCACTTTGTCAGGATTAACACAGGTTCACCAACCTACTATGCTTATTACTGAAGACTGGAATACTGGAAAATAAGGATATCTACAATACTTTTGGTACCGAAAAATGTGTCTGTATAACATTACCGTTACGAGGTAACTCAAATAGTCTTATTTTGGAATAAACACTTAAATTGGTGATCAGTAAGAATTTTTACACCGCTTAACTTATCATTATTGAAAAATCAAAGTCTATTTTTCACCAAGTATCATGTAAACGAGTGTGTTACATCCTATCATATCTATCGGTTTAGATTCGATTTACTAAAGCCATACAACTATGTTTATAGTTATATTTTATACATAGTTATATGCACATAGTTATATTTTACACATAGAAAGTTACTACCTCATTAGCTAAGTTGCCAATAATTAGTCAGGAATACCGTCATATGTTAAATATATATATATATATATATATATATATATATATATATATATATATATATATATATATATATATATATATATATATATATATATATATACAAAGAAAAGGGTTTAATTGATGAATTGCCAATGCGTCAGCTGTATATAAACTTCTTATTTAGTCTCCTTTGAAGTGAGTTCATCTAGCTATGTGAATAACTTTAAATGAAGATTCTTATATAATTAGATAACCAGGTATTTAAACATAGAATCACTGACTGATAATCTCTACTGTCTTTCAGTTAACCTTGTTGAGTAGTTGTTATTTAGTCGAGAGTAGTCGATAAGAAACCAAACACCTAGGTTTCGTGCTGTTTGTCACTCTTCAGCAAGGTACATTTGTAATCTTTAAGTAGTTGACACTCTCTGAAGGATTCGATCCTGTGTAATCCAGCTTCACTGTCAAAGGCTCTGCCAATGAACTATTCGAGCAGAGTTTGACCTCATGTGTGTCTAAGATGTATTGCAATTAATTGATCACAAAATAATGACCCATCGACTACCTTCAATCAACTTATGT